TAAAACAACAATAAATATTAATTAAAATACAATAAAAACAATATAAAAATACAGTAAAATTAGAATAAAACCAAACACATATGCAAATAATACCATCTTCCAAGATGTTGATGATCAGTAAGATGGGATGAGGACTCCTGCCTTGGGCAGGGGGTTGGACTAAATGACTTCCAAGGTACCTTCCAACCCTATGATTCTATGACTGAAAGTGTCTAGAGGTCTCACAGGAGGGGGCTATTTTAGGAAGAGGAGGGTGTGCAAGCCAAGAAAATCAAAGTCAAGAAACAGCTGAAAATGAAGACAAAAGAATGGAAGGAAACACAGATGTTCATACGGCTCTTGCTTCAGCTTAGTTTCTATAGTTTTTATATTTACTGTTCTTACTGTGGGATACTGAATTCCTCTTGTCTCTTTGAACAATCTGAATTGTGTGGCCAAGTTCTTTGTGTTTTTCATTTTTTACATCCTATTCCAACTTTCCTGTCTCTATTAGTAGCTTCATTTTCTCTCTCTTCCTATCAGGTCCTCCTGGACTGTTTTTTTCCTTTTTCTGTTTCTTTCCCCCAATGCAACCATGGTTCATTCGCGCTTCTTTTTTTTATGTTGATGATGCTTTTATTTTCCCCTTCAGACCTGTTCAGGCTAATGTTAATTTCTGCTTAGCTCAGCTATTATTTCATTTTGATTAGATACCTTCTCCCAATTCTAAATGAAAGACACTCAGAACTCAAAATGCTACTTGGGTCTTAGCCTTGACATTTTTGTTATTGGCCCCTCCCTTCAAGTCTGCAATGTGACAGGTTAAAAATGTATTTCTTTTTCTTTATTTGCATTATTACAAGTTTGCATGCACCCTAGTGCCCTTTTTCCATTGATCGATTCAGTATGGAATGTCCTTGTTTGTTCTGAACAGGTTAATGCTTTCCAAACATCCATTTATGAGGTGGAGCAGCGCGGAGACTGTGCTCTTAAAGATGCCCGGGATAAGCATATCGATCTACAGACTGCTGTACAGAAGGCCAAGGATGACTTAGCAAGGCTGCTAAGGGATTACCACGAGCTTCTGAACACCAAGCTCGCTCTTGACATTGAAATTGCTACCTATAAGACATTGCTGGAGGGAGAGGAGAGCAGGTGACTATGAATTACTCTTAATGTACTTCAAATAGAATGTGAGCGATTGAAACCTCCTTCCGATTTTTTTCTTCTCTTTTTAACTCATGCAACTTTTTCAGCTGAGGAGGCAGAATTTCCTGAGGCAGAAATTTGTTCCCAAGCAAACCTTTGCCACAGGCCAAATTCTGTCTGGACGTCTCTCTGAGACATTTTTCTTAGTATTCATGAGATTTTCTTCATGTTTTCTAGCTCTCCCAAAATGGAAATCTCTAAGCTAAATTTGGCTTTCAGATAAAGTCTTTGGCATGTCTATAGTGAGGCATGAAAGATCATACATTTGTCATTGTTCCTCCTACCACCAGGAAAAGTTATTGTTTAAGGCAGAGTTTTCCTTTCTCTATCAATGGTGGTCACAAACCAACTGGTGGACGTGCCAGGGTTTAAGAATGTATATTTATGATTTTACAGGCATAAACCTGTTCCAGCTGCTTTATAAGTAAGAAATCAAGCCCACCACAAAGAAAATGAAGAACAATTGAGCAACTGCCAATTAATTACAAAAAGCCTTGGGCAGGACAAGGGTCTGGTGGTTTCTGTCTGAAATAAGTAATAAAGCAATCTGATTGCAATAGCATCTTCTTTTCCTCCCCACAGGATACACTTAGGAAATCCTGTCTGTATAGGTAAGTAAAAAGCATGGAATTATGGTGAGCGAGGGTCATCAATTATATGTTTGGTCTTTTTTTTAGGGGGGTACACTTATGCTGTAGTGCCAGTTTGGGGTAGCGGTGAAGGTACCAGGCTAGAAGCTGGGAGACCGGGAGTTCTAGTCCTGCCTTAGGCAGGAAGTCAGCTGGGTGATGTTGGGCCAGTCCCTCTCTCTCAGCCCCAGGAAGGAGGCAAGGGGAAACCACTTCTGAAATCTTGCCAAGAAAATCTCAGAGACTCGTCCAGGCAGTCACCAGGAGTCAAAGACAGAAAACAACAATAATACTTATGCAGGGTCTGAACTGGCCCATGTTTGTCTGTTGGTGTGTGTACAACTTTTCCTCCAGATTCCAATATTTGTGTTCATACCTAAATCTACCATCTTTTTACTTACTTATTTATTATTATTCCCTATCCAGCTATCAGTTAAAGTGGCTCACAACAATAAAATTAGAAAAGTTAAACCCAAATCACATTTGTACAATTAAAATCCTGATTTAAAAAAAAGCAAGAAAGAAACACCAAAAACTTAAAACAAACTCAACAGTTAAAGACCTGGCAGGAGAGATGCGTTTTTACCTACTTCCTAAATATTGGTTTTCTAGCTAGTATAACCAAATAATTGTCTAAAACTTCTTAGATCTTCTCATTTTTTATAATCAGTTTATTCCCATTTTCGTGAGGATTTTCTCTAGCAGGCAAACTTTTTCTAAGGCAAAGCTATATTTATTAGCTCACTTTGGAAGAAGAGTTAGAACTGATTCCCATATCACTTTCATTCCATATTCCTGCCAAGATGTATGTCTAATTAATGGTTATGCCAAAATGGTGTATGCATATAACTGTAAATGAGAGAGTGAATTAAGAAAATTTTCACCCATTAGTAGAATTATACGAACTTGTTTGACAGTTCTTGAGCTAGTTTGTTGATTGAAGTGGGGTTAAAGTGGGAACAATTCAGCGGGTGTCACGAATGGGTCAAAAAAGTCAAGATGGTATTGTGATGATGCAGTCGAAGCTCTGTCCCTTTTGTATGGGTATCAATGTCACGTTCACGTACAAAAGAGGAGGGGCTTTGTGACAAGCTGCCATCTTGTCTTTTTGATCTCCCTTGCAGATACTGTGGGAATCACCCGTGCATTTAGTTTAGTCTCTCCCTCTCTTTCACTGTTTTATTTTATATGAATGTATAAAGTATTTAAGCAATAGCGCAAAGATAAGGTGAGAAATAAGTTTCCATAGATCTCTGTGTCTGTCCTCATCACACAAGTTGAATTTTCTACGTTTTCTTGCAGATGTGATCAAACCTTCTGGGATAGAGAGTACAGCTGGATTCTCAGTTTCAAGTGGATATGGTCCTGTTGGTGGAGGATATGGTGGAGGATATGGAATGGGAAGCCAGGGGAGATGCAATAGGAACTACAGCTCCAGAAGTGTTGGATTTGACTCAAGGTCTATGGGCAGCAGCACAGCTACAGGGAATGCCTCTGCTGATGCAGAGTTCTACCCAGGAAGGAGGCACAGCTGTAGGAATGAGTCCTGTTCTGGCCGTAGCCAAAGTACCTATACAGGCACAGGGAGATCCTCAGCAGGAGAAGGGGTTGGTAGAGGTACAGGCCATGGCCAAGGCGCAGGAATCAGCTCAAGAACTGCATATGGATCAGTCTGCAATGCAGGAAGGGGATGTGGGTCTAGAACTGTAGTAGGAAATTGCCCAGATGGAGGCTATCCCTGTAGAGGGTATGAACCATCAGGAGTCACTCCATATGGAGATGGAGGATGGGGCTCTGGGGTGGTAGGTGTTCCAGCTGCAGGATGCGCTGACAGTAGAGGTGTAGGTGCTTCATCTGCAGGAGTCCCAATGGGGGGTGCAGCTGAAGGGTCTAGAGACTTTGGGAAGCCACCCTCTGGTGCCTCAGGTGGTGTGTGTTACTCTGGTCCAGCAGGAAGTCCTGCAGGTGTATGTTATGCTGCACCAACAGGAAGTCCTGCAGGGGTGTGTTATGCTGCACCAACAGGAACCCCTGCAGGGGTATGTTATGCTGGACCAACAGGAACTCCTGCAGGGGTGTGTTATGCTGTACCAACAGGAACTCCTGCAGGTGTGTGTTATGCTGCACCTGCAGGAACAGCTGCAGGAGTGTGCTACCTGCAGCTGTAAGTCTTTTTTAAAGAGCTTGAGACAGACTTGTTTTTAAACAATCAATACAGGTAGTCCTCAACTTATGACCATTTGTTTAATGACTGTTCAAAGTTACAAAGGTGCTGAAAAAAGTGACTTACGACTGGTCCTTGAACTTACAACCATCACAGCATCCCCGCGGTCACATGCTCAGAATTCAGGCATTTGGCAACCGGCATGTATTTACGATGGTTGCAGCATCCTGGGGTCACATGATCACCATTTGGGACCTTCCCAGGGGGCTTTCAACAAGCAAAGGCAATGGGGGAAGCTGGATTTGCTTAATGACCACATGATTCACTTAACGACTGTGTCAAAAAAGGTCCTAAAATCAGGCGTGACTCACTTAATGACCATATCGCTTAGAACAGAAGTTCCGATCCCAATTGTGGTTGTAAGTCGAGGACTACCTTCAACCAATCTACTATAAAATTGGTCACAGACCCTGATAGCACAACAGAAATGCAGAAATTTCTCCTAAACTCTTTGGAACAATGTCCATGACTAGTGACTCATTCTGTATTTGTATTTTGGTGAATCTGTCTATTTCTTTAAGCAAGGTATTTGCCACAGAATCATATATGTTGCTTCTATCATGTCAACCTTTTTTTCCATGTATTTTTGGCACTGGTTTTTTCTTAAACATACACTTACTAATATTTTATAGTAATATTTTATTCATAAATTTGTACTGGAAAACAAATGCATTGATTTTAGGAGAAGGGCTACACTATTTTTAAAAAATTATTTAAACAGTAATTGACTTTCCCCAAATTCATTTTATTGTCATCGCTCTAGCTAATGCAAGCATATGTTTCACACTCCAAAGTCTTAATTCCCTTCCTATGCTTTGATTACACTCACATCCCTCTTAGACTCGTAGTGGTGATCATGTGAGCCTGTTTAATAAACGCAGCGTGGTAGCAAAAGAAGAAAGCAAAATGCCACAAGGAGAACCTAATTCCAGAAATCGGGACTCACAATATCAACAACCGCTCATATTTCTGATAGATTAGTGCTGCAAAATAGGAAAATGTGCGTACTGTGCCATTATTGGCAAAGAAGAGCTATCTCACCATGATGCATGTAATCCTTTTTATAGTATTGCCTTGGGGATTGCACGTTATCATAAAGCTTGCATTGTTGCTGTTCTGTGCAGTAAATGAATAAAAAATAAAATTCTTTCCAGTTACATCTACCCAGGATGCCTTATTTATTTATTTATATTTATTTATTCTACTGCTGAATCGATACAGACTCATGGTGGTTTACAATACAGCCCACAAGCAAACATTCATAAGCAATTAAAATGTCATCGTTAAACAGAAATAGAAGTAAAAAATAACCAAGTACTAATCAAACTTCAAAAATACAAAACAATTATGGCATAGTAATAATGAGAAGTTGAGAAAAATAAAACGGTAACAAAAGCAGATACAAGGAAGTTAACGAAAGGTAAAGTAAATTCAACCCTGATTGCTCATTGGAAGGATCGATAATGAAGCTCAAGCTCAGATACTTTGGTCACCT